TTTCTTGGCAGCAGATTTGGTGATTGTGCGACACTCACTTTCAACACGGAGTGAGTCAAGCCAACTTCGGATCGCGTCGCCTATGGCCGGGCAACGTATGCTCAAGCCTCTAGCCCCGATTTGAGAAGAAGGTTTTAGAAAAGGGGTAGAGAGATTTAGAAAGAGAGTTTGAAAGCAAGGTTAAGAGAGAGATTGAAAGCAGTGTTATATAGTATGCAAGCAAAAGACAACAACAACGGCTTAAAGAATATATAACTTTTCGGGCAGGGAGAATTTGACAACTAATCTCATCCCCTATAGTACATTTTGGGGCATTTCATGTCTACCAGGCGTAAACATGATTTTGCCGAAACGTTATACTCTTAGGAAAAGCAAGAAAGAAATTATACAACATGAAAGTAGTAAAGGAAGGCGATAAAGTAGTACAAGGCAAGGGATTCGGCATGTAATGGGCATGCAGTCGTGGGCAACATGCCCTTGGACAAGCATGACCAGGACACTTGGCTTGATAGTGCAAGCTATGACTTAATATTGAGTGTCGTTTGATAACTATTTTGTTTTGAAAATCGTGCTTATTTTCTTATCGTTTATTTTCTGTGGTTTTCACTTTTAAAGAAATATCTGAATTCTTTCCGTAACAAAATCAAGTTTTTTGTATGCCTTTGTATTCTTTAATTTATTCAACGAAGATTCGGTTTCTTATCAAAAAAATTTAAAAAACCAAATCGGTATCTAACAGGGCGTTTGAAACACAATTTTGGATTACTTTACAAGTGATCATTTGGAATCTCCTTCTGGACTTTTATTTGGAGAAGTATACATATAAGTAGGTTTATAGTGTGATTGTTTTTTTTTTATGAAATTTAAGCCTATTAGTTTTAATCAACTTTCTTGTTCATGCTGATATTGAAATTGATTTTAAATTTTTTTATTAAATAAAATGGCATTAATATTTTTTGGGCAAGTCACCAAAAACGTGGTTTCATTAAGCTAAATAAAAGATTGTACAAGGGCATAAAATGACTAGCTTGGAAAAGGAGTCCAAACACCAGCTGGTCATGTATGAACTTCAATCCAATAACCTTTTCTTCTATCCACTGATATTATTACCTTCTAATTCCTTCCCAATACCTCTCAAAGAAAATTCTGAATTGGATCCAAAATTGACAGGTTAGTGTGAGCATTCTTGCTTTAGTGGGTCTCCGAGATCCTTTCGATGACCTATATTGTGTTGAAGGGATATCGATATGATCCGATTGATTGTGTAAAACCTGCGGTAGTAATGGAACCAGGAAAAGTATACAGAAAAGACGGTTCTTTTCTATTCTATTAGTATGAGTTAGTGATCTCGGCTTAGTGAGCCCTTTCTTCCGTTTCTTCCGTGATGAATAAAACCTAGCTGATAATTACAGAAACTTGAGTGATAAAAAGGTGTTAAGTCCAAATCTCCTAAACCTCTTTCCAAGACCTCTCCACCACTATGATAATTTCACTCTTCCTATCTAGCCAAATACTTCACATGGGAGAAGAACAAAAATCAAAATTTCTATAAGTTAGTTATCTTTTGAGAGAGAAAGGAACTGGCCAAATTTGAGAATTCTGAATCACATTTTTAGGCAGTGAGTGAGCTTTAGTTGCACATCAAAGCTTAGTGATCACATTGGCTTTGTTGAAATTTATAAAATGTTTTGCTAACCAGCTTGAGGCTAATTGATCGACATCTTCCGACAGGTGTATCACCAGACCAGGAATCCGTGGGTTCTGGAACGAAAAGGTCCAGTGTATCATCTGGAAGTAAGTCTAGAAACCGGAACGAGTTTCTTTACAAATTCTTGGACAGTGAAATCTTTACGGCCAAACTCGAGGATTGGTTTGAAGAAGTGTTAGAGAATTCTAAAACCAAAAAGCCTGTTTTCGATGTTCCGTTTGAGTTGATAGATTTACAGAAGTTTGACTATGCACTAGAAGGTATTTCATTTCAGCAGCTGGTTCGTATGCCGAGTGCTACTTGTGCTTCGGCCTCTGATGGCGTGGAAGCAACTGCTTATCTTGCTGTTGAGGATTTTCTTCATGCATGTGTGAAAGGTTTGTGGGAGGCATTTTGGGGGAGTCATGATCAGTCCCTGCCTTTCACCGTTGCTTGTTTGTACAGGGATAATTTAAAATTTTACCATGCTGAGAAGGCCATTGCTACAGGGAAGCTGGAAGGTCTTTCGGCCACTGGCATACTGTTGAAGAACCCTCGACATCCCCATGGGAAGTGGGGCCAAATTCTTACGCTTGCTGTACTGAGTCCTGATATCGGAAACCTCGCTGTGGACCATGAGAGTTATCCTTCTTCATCTGTCTTAGGCAAGGCCCTTTTTTATGCTATCCGCATGCTGTTGTCAAGAAGCTTGAAAAAATCGAACTATTCACCGAGTTTAAACTCCGTTTTTGTTCTTCTTGTCAATTCACAGTATGGAGGAGTAATAAAAGTTGAAGGAGATTTAAGTAGATTGGAGTGCGATCCAAATAATGCGTATGAATGTGCTGCTGAATGGATAAAACGATATGCTACAATATCAGTTTCTCAAATTGATAGGATCTGGAATGAGCTTGGAAATGCAAACTGGGGAAATATTGGGGCCTTACAAATACTTTTTGCAACCTTCCATTGTATAATGCAATTTGCTGGAGTTCCGACACACTCAATTGAGGATCTAGCTGCCGAGCATAGTTCTCGTTTGCAAACGAGAAGAGCAGAGAGGCAGTTGGGTGACGTCAGATCGAATGGGAATGGTATGTTTAGGTTCCAACGGCGAAGTGTTTCCCCTGAAATTGTTGAAGTTCAGGAAGATTCGATCGAAGTTAAGTCGGAAGAGATAGTAAAGTTGGAAGTAGGATCCATATTGTGGTTGGAGGATTCGAACTGGCAAAAGGGTTATCAGATTAATGAACTCCTGACTTCTGGTGAGCTTCAATTTTATATTGCTTCTCCTGTTGAAGAACCTGGAAAGAGTCTGTTTCTTTACGTCGGATCTCGAATTTCCCAGCTCGAAGCATGGGAAGATATGAACTGGTGGTATCAAGTACAGAGGCAGACCAGGGTGCTGACTGTAATGAAACAGAAAGGTCTATCTAGCAAGTATCTACCACAATTGAGTGCATCTGGGAGGATCATTCATCCCGGTCGGTGTCATAGACCCAGCTCGGGTCAGAACTGCGACCACCCATGGTGTGGCACGCCTATTCTTGTGACCAGCCCAGTTGGTGAAACTGTAGCAGACATGGTAAATGGTGGTAGATTTAGTCCTGAAGAAACATTAAGGTGTTGCCATGACTGCTTGTCTGCACTCTCAACTGCTGCTTCAGCTGGAATCCGACATGGAGACATCCGACCAGAGAATGTGATTTGTGTGAGATCGGGTGTGAGACAACCTTATTTTGTTCTTATCGGCTGGGGACATGCGATTCTTGAAGACAGGGACCGCCCTGCTTTGAATCTTCACTTCTCATCCACTCTTGCTCTACAGGAGGGGAAGCTCTGCTCGGCATCAGATGCTGAGAGCCTAGTTTATATGCTTTATTATGCCTCTGGTGGTGCTTTTCCCGACCTGGATTCCGTTGAGGGGGTGCTATTGTGGCGAGAGACCTCTTGGTCAAGGAGGTCAATTCAGCATAAGCTTGGTGATATGTCGACAGTACTGAAAGCATTTGCTGACTACGTCGATAGTCTTTGTGGAACTCCATATCCAATGGACTATGACATCTGGTTAAGAAGGTTGCGGAGAAATATCCACGATGATGATCCGGGAAAGGAAATCGATACATCAGGCTAGGACGCTTTTATTAGCTATGGTGTAAATTTCTACTCCATTGTTGACATCCATCTCTTCCAACTGTGATTATGCATTTTTGGTTGGAAGAAGACCAGATGGTTCAGGTAAGTTAATGGCTCGATTACATTCCTGAAGTTCGAACTTTCGACTCAATGCTGGCTACTAGGAAGGAATGTTTCAGTCAGCTTGTTATCTGTGTTCGTTTTCGAGCTGGAGTTCATCGACTCTGTAAAAGACATTGATCTAGATGCACCTAACAAGATTGCACTGCTCATAACCTCTGATTACCGTTGGTCGATGTGGACAAGTGCAGCTACGATCGTGGTCGACACTGATTTATAACTGTGTGACCAAGCTGAACACCATGATGTTTCCATGTAAGTGCATATGTAAAGTAGATTTTAGTATTGCGTTTGGTGTGAAGGGTAGATTTGTATATGTGTTTTTGGTTGCCACTAGGAAGAAGAGTTTGGATGTTTATGATGTTGGAGAGTATTAACATTCTGAAGGAATTTGTAATTTCTGATAATGGATAGGCTTCTTAGGACTCCTCATTCTACTTCCTTTTAGTTTTTCCTTGGTTTGTTGTATACTTTTTGGTGTAATTAATAAAGTTTACCAAAGATTTGCAACCTGTGCTGAAATTTATCATCACACAAACTTGGAGCATGTTTGAGCTCATTTTCAAAATTAATTAATTAGAATCGTCTACAAAAAAATCATGAATTTTGAAGTATATGATTTTTCAGGTAAAATCTGTCAAAGTCTCCCTACTCAAAAAGTTATATGTTATTTAATTTAAGTGTTGCCTTTTGCTCATAGTTATATAAACGTTCGATTTTAAATCTTTTCTTATTCTTACTTTCAAACTCATTAGTTGTCCGACGGTAAATGACGCAAATACAAATTAGCTTGACTCACTTGGTGTTGGGAGTGAATACCGCACACTCCATCACAAAACCCACTACAGATAACAGTCCAATATATTTTCTTTTACACAATTAATTAAAAAATAAACAATCTTATGAATCATGAACATGTGTTTTAAGAGCCCAATTTAAGTATAGATTTTGTAGCATGGAAGAAAAGTTCCAAAAGCCCTAGTTTATCTAGCTTTAGTAAATCAAACTGCTGCATTTGCAAATCATTCACAACTCTTGGTCGTATTAAAATTCCCAATTTGATTAAGAACAGTACAATAAAGCAGTATGGAAATCACAATAAGTTTATCTGTTCCTGAATCCTTGGAAAATTCTTACAGGGTGCTCTAACCAGACGCTTGAAACTAAATAAAGCAATTGCAGTACAAGTAAGAACACCTAAAAATATCTAACTTCCTTAATCAGCATCCATCTCTTCCAGGGCAGCTTTAGCTGCTGCCTTTGCTTCCCCTAGAAGATCCTCCGGGACCTGAAAATAGAAGAAGCATGTGGTTGAACTATCTTTCCAGAGAGCCACTTCCCTAATACTAAAGTATTTCAGGGCAACGTGAATTGGATACTAGCTATTGCTATAGTATGTTCATACTATACTAATACTACTTTCAACTACATTGTTCGTGTTAAATCGTAACGTGATTTAATATCAATAGTAGTAGGCAGCTATACCATCCTATTTTTTCCACAGGAATTATGTACCACTGAAAAAATTCATGAACCGTAGATTTCTGTCACAACTTCCAGAAGATCCAAAGGAAAACTAAGTTTACGGTAATCGGTTCAGAATTTAGATGCAGCTTTCCACAATCAAATTTAAGTACCGCTAATATTCAGCTACCCATAATCGATGTTGATATGAAGAACAGAATTAGTATACTAATATCACGACATATCATGTAACAAAATTTTGAAAAGAACAATTGCAATTTATTTTCTTCTATAACATTAGTAGTACCTTCTGATGTTGGCGGTTGGATTCATCACAGATCCAACTCATTTCCAACTCGAAGTCCTTGTCCTTTGCCTCATCATGTACTCCATAAATACTGCTCGCCAAAAAGAGCAACCAAAAGTTAGATTCTAATCAAGCATTTGCTCGGACAAACTACAAGATCACTTGTTTTAGCAAAGCCCAACAACTCAGAAGCTACTCACATCTTGGCTACTTCAATGACCCCTTGCCGACATGTCATTTCAGAGAGCTTCAACTTTTCAATTTCCCTGTCATAGCATTCTAGTACATCAGGAATATTACTTGAATTATCATGAATAAAGATAACAGACAATTTGTTAGTGAGATGTTATATTGATGGATATATTCGAAGGTTGTGAGCTATTATGAATAAGGGGTGTATTAGAAAGTGCCCATTCTTTAACAAAAGTCCTTTTTAACTATAAGCACTTAAGTAAAAAGTACTTATTGGTTCTATATTAATCAAAGTTCTTACCTTCCACTTGAGCACTTCGGCTGAAAAATTACACAAGTTCTCGTTTATTGAGTATTTCTAAATAATTGTTTGAATACAAACATGAGAATGTTCGCTTTGAACACTTTTAAATTACTTCCAAACATGATTTTGAGTGGAGGGTGCTTTGGACATGACTCCCAAACATAGTCTAAGGCTTCTTAATATACCCCCACAACCTTCCTTTTTTTAATAGAATAGTTATATGATACATAAAAAAACAAAAAAGCTCCATCGACGCTGAGACTGTTAAAATTAAGAGTTAGGCTTGCACGAAAAAACAGTGGATGAAAGATTTTCTATTGCCCATGGACTTGTATCAACTATTTTCCTCCATCAGTGAAGTCATGCTAAGAGATAAATAATTCAATTTCTATAGTTTCTTGCACCACTATGGACAGAAAGGTCATGTACAACCAAATCATTGTTCTGGAAGTTTAATATTGATTACATTATCCACCATAAATTAGTCAATAAATTCGCTATGTAGCGAGAAGGTTCAATAACTAAAGTCCCTGATATGAATATTATTTTCCAAGATTATGAGTAATGAGCATTCACATATCAGTCATAGAAAGCTTACATGAATCTCCTACAGAAACATCTTTAGGTAGCCATGCATCCACATTTTTGAAAACTCATTCTCATTAAATTCAATTAGATAGCAACAGAGGAGTGTCTAGTCAATCCCCCCACAAGAGAATCATGACAAGTAAATCTTTAATCTTACGTTTTTGCAGCCTGCCTGCCCTTTCCAATTGCAGCGCCATAGTACCTCTGGAAAAACCCACAAAAAATGTAAGTTCATAGCAGTGATAGATGTGCATAAGTAGTTTGCAAGTGCTGTGAACAAAACAGCATTAAAGTTAAAACTGAATATCACAAGTCTGCAACATGTCAATGCATAAACTCACATAAGAAACACCGGATGGTTCAACCATGTACAATTGTGGTCCATCTCTATCATAACCCCCAAGAATAACGCCACATCCAAAAGGTCTGCAACATTAACTTTAATTCTATTTAAGGAGAAAGAAGGAAGCAATTTCAAATTACTATAGGTCTTATTGAAATCGTGACAAACCTGAGCCACCAGTAGAGTGTACAGAGATGCACATAACTGGCAACACGATCAGCTAGTTCCTTTACAGGGATTGGTTCACCATAAACACTATATAAGGAGTCCATAACAAAACAAGATAAGCATTCAATAGGATAATGCAAAAACAACAATACATCTCAGATAACCTCAGAAAAAGCATTAGATTAATTGATAACTTTTCTCATGATCATATGGCCTGTATGCCTTCACTTTTAAAGTGCTCTAGACACCATTATTTTCTCCCATCAGTATAATATCTCACTGTACCTATGTATGATTAATGTGTATGAAGGGCTAGAAGTTCATGAAGGCATGTAGTTTCTAGAAAAAACAATTCATTTGCATGTGACAGTTCAATAATTCAATCATCGTCACTTTGTCTAATACTGTTCATCTGTCATGTCGTATCTTAATCGTAGAAGACTTGTTAACTGTAAACCTCTATTTAAAATATATTTATCAAGTCAGGACTCAGGAATCATATTCAAACATTAGCAGAAAACTGAATTAAATCGAGGTATCATCACCGAAAACATTCATATCCATTATGCATTCTTACAGAACAACAAATTTCATTATGTATAGAGTGGGAGGTGTGGGTTATTGGAGACTGTCTAAAATAGAAGAGTCCCAACCTTTCATAGTTGGTTGCTTCAGACTTTGCTCGAGCAACTATTTGCCTTCCATCTGCTGCTAATCCTGCCACAGCCTGTTATTGAATGACGAAGTACATCAATAAGAAAAAGATGAGAATGCAAGCCCATGTAGCTTTACAGTTCACTTCTTGCTATATGTTAAACCTCAAACACTTGAACATGAGAAGATCCAAGAAAATGAACTTTTCTATTCCATTATTCATATGCAAGTCTCCACCCAGTCAAGGCACTCTCCTTAATCAGTAATCTACGACCATTATATAATAAAGGCTTTAAAAAAAAAATCAAAACCCTCATACAAGACCACTTGAATTCAAAGCAGTGATGGAGAAAAGACAAGGGAAATACCATGCCAGAATGACGATGAACGGCGTGAATTCTTCTATTAGAACCAGGAAGCATCATCTTCGAGGTAATTAGCTTTTCCACGCCCTGAATCAATAACACCCCCATCAGATTCGCACGTGAGAGACACTCCACCACAATCCACAAACAAGAGGAAACACACTCAAAAGCGTTCTAAAACTTACCATAACGACTCCATCTTCGCATTTGATTCCAATAACAGTCCTGCAAACGAATTCCAGACCCAGCTCACATAAAAAGGAAATCGCGAAATCCCTAACTACCTCAGGGAAAGTCTATGGAAGAAAGAAGGGGAAGAGAAAAAAAAGAAAGACATACCCACTGTTGTCGACGGCCTTTGCGGCGTACTCGATCTGGAAAACACGGCCATCGGGGGAGAATGTGGTGACGGAGAGATCGTAACCAGTGCCTATGCTGCTCATTGTTTCTGGTTCTTTGCCCTAATCGAGAGCGACTTTCAATCGGTAATCTGTGGAGCAGGAAATGGAAAAGTGGAGCTTATGAAGAAGACGACCGAGCTTTGTACTTCTCTCAACTCTTCAATTTCTTTCTTCCCAAGAAAATCTTTTGCCTTTGCGTGGGTAATTTCAAGGTTTTGTTTAGGATAATAATACACCTAAAAAAACATTTGTTTTTGAAAGGATGATGGGCTATTGTCATATGTGCTTCCACGTGATCAATGGACGTAATTTCCCGGTTGAACTTGCTTGCTTCTATGTGTGTGCTAGTTCTAAATGTTTGACTAAATGTTCTCCGAGCACGTGATTGATGGACGTTATCTCCCTGTTGAACTTGTTTGCTTCTATGTGTGTGCTAGCTCCAAATGTTTGACTATGTGTTCTCCGAGCACGTGATTGATGGGTGTTATTTCCCTGTTGAACTTGTTTGCTTCTATGTGTGTTAGCTCCAAATGTTTGCCTGTGTGTTCTCCCTGAAGAGCGTGTTTATCTGCACATGGCTAGGGTGTTAGAGTTAGGTTGGCTAAACAGTGACCTAGGTTAAGACATCTTCAATAGACTGATCACCTTAGGAGTGTGAGCGACGGTCAAAGGGTCTAGACACTAGTTCCCAGACTAAAAAAGACTCGAGGAATTCAAACAAAATAGTATGGAGTCAGAAGTCCACGTTAAGCCACATAGTCACCCTAGCCGCCTTAGAAACCCAATAGATCTTCTCAAACCCAGATATGACTAAGTTAAAGTTTAAACCATGGATTATATGCTTAGGTGATTAATAAGAGTATCTCCCTAGCAAAACATGCCTGAGAGAACTTAATTGAGATTATGGCGCTAGTGCAGTTTACATGTTGACTCAGGTTAGTACATTTCCATTATACCTTGCACTCCAGGATTGTGACCAATCAAAGGTTTAGACCTATGTGCACCTAGAGATTGGTTTGACTCGAGGAGCTAACCCCAAATGTTCTGGAAACGAAAGATGAGATTTAAATCGCCTAGAAGCCCCTAAGAATCTCGTAGGTCTCCACAAAAACCAAGGACGACCAAGGTAGCTCATCAGGCTATAACAGTGTGAATAGTATCATAAGTTTGTCTACTACCCTTTCTACTTGTACCGTCGAGACTCTACTCTAGTAGTAGTACCGTGGAGCAAGGCATCACCAATTAGGGTAGCGCGAAATGTGAAAATGGCCAAGGGTCTCATGAACAGGACCCTTGTGCTATAAACCCGTTCCTGATTGAGGGAGCGTGGGACCACGTAGGTTAACCTAGTAGCTGACTGGCACATGGGGGATCGCTTCCCCCAAACTTTGGCTACTTTATGGTCTTGTGTGAGGGTTCGTCAGCTAACCTCATGGATGATGTTCAGATTCAAATCTAGCTATAATGATTCGTAGCTTATGAGGTCACGTCTCAATTTAGAACACTAGTCATTCATTGCATAAGCAACAAGCCACCTAAGTCATAGAAAAGAAAGATTGGAAAACTGGTACATACCCTAGGGGTACGCTTCCGTCCAAAGACACGCTCAAAATGTTGGGGTACCCAGTTGCTTAGATAGCATTGGAACCTAGGTCTGAACTTCCTAGAGCCTAGAGTAAAGCCCTGGATGCTTACTAGGTTAAAGATGCAATGAGAGCCTACAAATAGGTTGTTTAGTGAGTATTTTTATACTCGTCCCTTTTCTCTTTCTTTTTTAGGTGTTTGTACTGCTGGTCGAGGTGGAGAATCGTTTGAAAGTTGTGCGGTCACAGAGAAAGTCGTTTCGGAGCGTCAGTCCATTTTTATCTTTTGGAGTCTTTTATATTTTATTTTATGATTGTATTTCAAACTAGTTTCTTCGTTTGTAATATTTTGAACAATATCGTCTTATAATTGAATTTAATTATTAGTAAGAAAAAAATGTCAATCGAACTCAAATTTTTTGTTTTCTAAACTAATCCAACCCAACTTTTATGGGTTGTGGTTGGTTTGTGGTTAGGTAGTTCAGGTTGGTTGGGTTATATGAACACGGTTATATGAACACCTCTAATAGACTTCAATCCACCAAAGTTGAAATTATTATTTTTCTTTTTTGTCCAAATCCCAACCATTGATTGAACTTTGTTTAAATCCTAACCATCGATTGAACTTAATAAGATTAATAAGGATTGCAATTGTTCATATACAAAATTTAGTACTGGAAAAGAATGCTTAGAAGTTAAGAAACCAAAATAAGCTGAAGCAGAACACAGAGGGTGATTAACATTATAAACTAGGACCACTTCGTTACTCAATGTTTGTGATGATATTTTTACAAACATTACATGACAACATATTACACTCATTCAAACTGAACCATACTAAAAAGATGAGTGGAGTATGAGCTAATTACAAAAATTTAGTACACAAGTTTAGGCTCAAACTCTGCAAAATCAACAGATCCAGACTCAATCGGAGGCATCAAATATGCAGCCAATATCTCAGACACCAATGCTGCAACAAGTGGGATCCTCTTCAAGTTCTTCACTAGAGAACCCTCATTGGTTTCTCCAACAGCAAGCAGCTTCTCATTGATCTCAACCATCCTGTCCAGTTTCCTCTTGAACTCGGGATTCTCCACGTCCGGTACGGCTGGGAAAATTCTCGCCGTTGTGCGGTTGGTCTGGAACAGAAGTAATATGAGTTTGGTTCACAAACAGTTCAGCCCTATATTGTTCATCTAACTAGGCAGATAGACATTTTTTTATAGCTAGAAGTGGATTTAACAGTTTCATTGAATTATTGTTTGAAGATCAGAGTATTTCTCAAACATGGCATATGAATGAACTATGTAGATACCTCAATGATAACATGCATGTCAAATTCTTTAGTGTTGAGGCCAATTCCTTCATAGAATGCTGTTCTTTGGCAATCATTGAGATACATTGTCACATACACCTGCAAAATATTTCATCCAGAGGGAAAAGGAAAACGCTTGGGTCAATTTCAACATATCCAAATTTCAGTAACAAAAGATTCATATTGACATTAAACTTATAAAAACTACTCATAACTAAACCTTTTTTACTTAGTTTTTCACTTCTTGAAAACAAGGTATTTTTTTTGGTTTCAGGAACAAATAAAAGGATTAGTAGATAAGCATGGCATTGAAGAACAGATTGTCACAAAAACATTATTCTTTCCATTAGTTGCAGTCAAGTGTAGAATTCTACTAAAATTTTGGGAAGGACGAATAATGGTGAATTACCGATAAGCAGAAGAACCGGGACCAGAGCTTAGCTTTCCAATCATTGAGGAACTGAGGCTGTGCCTTGAGCAATGCAGAGAAGAAATCACCATGCCTGTTCTCATCCTGGCACCAGTTCTCAAAGTACTTGAAAATGGGATAGCATTGGAACTCAGGGTTGGCCTTGAGATGTCTGTAAATGGTTATGTATCTCCAGTATCCAATCTTCTCAGACAAGTATGTTGCATAGAAGATGAACTTGGGCTTGAAAAATGTGTATTTTCTAGCCTTTGTCAGGAATCCCAAGTCCAATGCCAAGTTGAAATCAGATAAACCCTTGTTCAAAAACCTGTAATTAAGTTATAAGATGAACAAACTTAAAACAATTTCACTGTAATGCTGATCTGAAATTTGGCTTTCGTATTTACTTAACATATTGTTTAGACACTTATTTTAATATCTAAACTTTCGTGTTTATAACATTTTAGTCCTATATTTTCAAACATAGTTTTAGTTCTGAACTATATGTAAAAACAAACCGGTTTAGCTATTTCTTAGCAAAGACTTGTGCAACGTTATTTCTAATTAGTAGATCTTTCTACCTAGACAAATGACACATCTACTAACCAAGTATTTGGATGTCAAATGTATACATATCTATATTCAACCCTGGAAATATTAGCATCAAAAGCTAAAATATTTATGCAATTTTTAATGACTAAAATTTAATATTTAAAAGTTGAAGAACAAAATTTGAAAATTAAACTAACACAAGTGTTAATTTAATAACCATTTCGTTATTGAAACCTGTGCTTGTTTTGTCATAATTTCTCTACATGAGTTCATCTTTCTTAAGAAAACATTTAATATTTAGCCAAATTCCAAAAAACAAGAAAAACTTTACTTGGTTTTAGAAATCATACATAAAAAGTAAATAACAAAACAAAAAAAATCCTAGTATTTATAGACTTATTTTTCAAAAATCAAATGGTTGTGGAAGTTCAAGAGGCTTAATATGTGATATTTGCAGTGTCCTTACATATCAATAAAGGAAGCTTACGGTATGGTTTAGAGGCTATAAAATATAAAATCAGTACATACCCAGCATGCCTGGCTTCATCCCTTGACATCAGGGAGAAAATCTCTGCCACCACTGGATTAGTTTTCTGGAACACAAAAAAAATTGGCCAAGTGAGATAGAAGGAAGATTATTTTCCTTACACATTGCTCAAGTTTAAGGAAATATGATAGATAACATATGATTTCATAGTGAAAATCAGCTTATGATTTGGAACCGCAGAAGCCATTCTGCAGTAGAATTCAACAATATAGAACAAACTATACAGTCAAATGACATACCATCTATTCTCTTACATGAAAACTAAAGTTTGGTTGCTGTAATACAATGTTGGTCTAACTCGAAGTCCAACTTAATTTCTGTCTCTAGATTTTTGGCTTCTTACATTTTAGAATTATCTCTATAAAACCTCCATACTTCAATTTGTTCATTATTTATTAAACAATGGTAAGATCTTAGTCAAATTTCAAAAGGAAAAAAAGATCCTTAAAGGTTGATTTTCAATTTTTTAAAATAACAAACTAGCTATAATTTTTTTTTAAAAAAAGTTACGAAAGCAGATTAGAAAACCAAGAAAAAGGATAGAAATAAACCTAATTTCTAAAAGCAGAAAACCAAAAACAAAATCATTATCTACTTAAATTCTAAACAATAGCTCTATAGTCTCCACTGCATTTGTTTTGAAAACTCTTTTCAACGCAAACTATGGCGTATTTTCAAGGATAAAGTACTTAAAAATACCACAATTCACAGAAAGACCATCCTGTCAAAACAAATAGTACAGTTATAAGCAGGAATTTTGAAACAATTTTCCACATCACTCCCAAAATCAACTTCAAAAGCACAGAAAC